TAAAGTATTATATTTTAAATCGGTATAAAAGAATAACCCTTTTTTCGATTATGTCCCTCAAATTGCCCCCCTGTGTCAACTTAAATTCCCCACAGAATTGTTTTGCTGCCGTATGTTGTTTACAATCGCAATCACAAACCCTTGCCACAAAACTGTGCTGTTGTGTTGATGTTTGAATTGCAAAACTTTTGCGCCGTTTGTTCGAGGAAAGGGAACGACATCGAAGCGAAAAAGATCAGATCATTTACAGACCATAGCTCTTTTGTGGTGTCACATATTGAGCAGAGATCAGTAGTTCGCTTTTGTGGAGGAAGGAAGACGTGTCTGAAGATAAGTTTATGTGTGTGTAAGTGTATCAGTGTCTGATGGCCCCAATGAAATGCAGCTGTTGTCTGAAACATCTGCCGTTTTTTGATGAACTATAAGTGAGAGTTGTGAATAGAAGGAGTAAGGAAAGGGGCAAGAAGTGGGAAATAAAGTCTTAATAACAAAACACACTTAAGATTATTTCTAATTTTGCAAAATATTTTCAATGTTTCTTGCGTTATTTGTATTACACGCGATAGCTGAGAATGGTCTGAGTATGAGATTTTAAATTAAAATTCTTCTCCATTTTTTGCAATCCTTACTGTCCACACTTATTTGTGCTTCTTCTTCGATTTTGGAGCCACTTTATTTTTCATGTAGGTATACCAAAATTTGAAGCAGGTGTTTTTATGATTGTTTTTTGTGCCTGGATTTCTGTGAATGGAGCCGGTATTTTGTGTGACCAAGAGGGTCAAACAAGTTGTGTGAATTTCTGTGTTTATGTTTTTGTTTTTATAATAATACACAACAGACGTAAATTCGTATAATTTAATTGCATGAGTTTTTAAAAACCCAAATCACGTTGTTTTGGCTGATATGAGGCAAGTATGAAAAGGAAAGGAATTTCTATTTCGAAAATTCAAAATTTTATCAATACCTTGCTGGGAAAGAAAATGAAAAAACGTCAACAATAATAACATCCTTTTACAGTGTACTCATGGGTTTTCCTCCCTTGTATATATATCAACTCCCTTGACATCGTCGTATTTTAATCTAAAAATGTTATTCTAAGGCATGTGTCAGAGATTTGCACCCCCTTAGTGAGGAGAGTAGAAGTGTGTTTGAACTCAAAACAATTACGTAATTTCTTCTTTTTGTCTGCATTTTTTTGTCAGTTCTGTTGACTCTTTTGCTACCTTTAGTTATTTTTTCCACCATACCCTTAGGTTGTCTTTAAGAAAGTATAAAAACGGAAGATAAATGCAGCAACTAAAGAAAGGAGTAGGGAAGGGAGTATTTTGAAGCTTACACTCCTGACAAAGGCTATATAAGTTTCAACTGGGGGGTTTAAATGAAGGAGACACAATCGACATATAGGTGTTCTGCATGTATTGATGTCTGGTTGACAACGAACTTTCCTAATAAAATATGTTATCAAAAATATTTTCAGAAAATATGGACAAAAACTATTTTTTTATAGAAGAAAGCTTGCCGATAACAACTTCTTCCAATGAAAAGTTGGTCGATAACATCTTCTTCCAAAGAAAAGTTGGTCGATAACAACTATTTCTATATTAAAGCTGGTCGATAACAACTATTTCCATATAAAAGTTGGTCGATAACAACTATTTCTATAGAAAAGTTAGTCGATAACAACTATTTCCATATAAAAGCTGGTCGATAACAACTATTTCCATAGAAAAGTTGGTCGATAACAACTATTTCCATAGAAAAGTTGGTTGATAACAACTATAACAATTATTTCCATAGATAACAATTATTCCATAGATAACAATTATTTCCATAGCAAAGTTGGTCGATAACAACTATTTCCACAGAAAAGTTGGTCGATAACAACTATTTCTATAAAAAATGTTGGTCGATAATAACTATTTCTATAGAAATAACAACTATTTCTATAGATAAGTTGATCGATAACAACTATTTCTATAGAAAAGTTGATCGATAACAACTATTTCTATAGAAAAGTTGATCGATAACAACTATTTCAATAGGAAAGTTGATCGATAACAACTATTTCTATAGAAAAGTTGATCGATAACAACTATTTCTATAGAAAAGTTGATCGATAACAACTATTTCTATTGAAAAGTTGATCGATAACAACTATTTCTATAGAAAAGTTGATCGATAACAACTATTCCTATAGAAAAGTTGATCGATAACAACTATTCCTATAGAAAAGTTGATCGATAACAACTATTTCTATAGAAAAGTTGATCGATAACAACTATTTATATAATATAACAATTATTTATAGGAAAGTTGATCGATAACAACTATATCTATAGAAAAGTTGGTCGATAGCAAAAATTTCTATAGAAAAGTTGGTCCATCACAACTATTTCTACAGAAAAGTAGGTCGATAACAACCTTTTCTACAGAAAAGTTGGTCGATAACACCTATTTCTATAGCAAAGTTGGTCGGTAACAACTATTTCTATAGAAAAGTTGATCGATAACAAGATAAAGAAACGTAAGTTGATCGATAACAACTATTTCTATAGAAAAGTTGATCGATAACAACTATTTCAATAGGAAAGTTGATCGATAACAACTATTTCTATAGAAAAGTTGATCGATAACAACTATTTCTATAGAAAAGTTGATCGATAACAACTATTTCTATTGAAAAGTTGATCGATAACAACTATTTCTATAGAAAAGTTGATCGATAACAACTATTCCTATAGAAAAGTTGATCGATAACAACTATTCCTATAGAAAAGTTGATCGATAACAACTATTTCTATAGAAAAGTTGATCGATAACAACTATTTATATAATATAACAACTATTTATAGGAAAGTTGATCGATAACAACTATATCTATAGAAAAGTTGGTCGATAGCAAAAATTTCTATAGAAAAGTTGGTCCATCACAACTATTTCTACAGAAAAGTAGGTCGATAACAACCTTTTCTACAGAAAAGTTGGTCGATAACAACTATTTCTATAGCAAAGTTGGTCGGTAACAACTATTTCTATAGAAAAGTTGATCGATAACAAGATAAAGAAACGTAAGTTGATCGATAAGAACTATTTCTATAGAAAAGTTGATCGATAACAACTATTTCAATAGGAAAGTTGATCGATAACAACTATTTCTATAGAAAAGTTGATCGATAACAACTATTTCTATAGAAAAGTTGATCGATAACAACTATTTCTATTGAAAAGTTGATCGATAACAACTATTTCTATAGAAAAGTTGATCGATAACAACTATTCCTATAGAAAAGTTGATCGATAACAACTATTCCTATAGAAAAGTTGGTCGATAACAACTATTTCTATAGAAAAGTTGATCGATAACAACTATTTATATAATATAACAACTATTTATAGGAAAGTTGATCGATAACAACTATATCTATAGAAAAGTTGGTCGATAGCAAAAATTTCTATAGAAAAGTTGGTCGATAACAACTATTTATATAAAAAAGGTATTCGATAACAACAATTTCTATAAAAAGTTGCTCGATAATAACAATTTCTATAAAAAGTTGCTCGATAACAACTGCTTCTATAGAAAAGTTGGTCGATAACAACTGTTTCCATAGAAAAGTTATTCGATAACAACTGTTTCCATAGAAAAGTTGGTCGATAACAACTATTTCCATAGAAAAGTTGGTCGATAATAACTGTTTCCATAGAAAAGTTGGTCGATAACAACTGTTTCCATAAAAAAGTTGGTCGATAACAACTGTTTCCATAGAAAACATAGCAACATTTTCTAAAGAGAAGTTAGTCGATAACTATTTCTATATCGATAACCACATTTTTATATAAAAGTTTGTCGATAGCAACATTTTCTATAGAAAAGTTCGTCGATAACAACCTTCTCTAAAGAAACGTAATTAGATAACAACCTTTTATGTAGACGATTTGTGCGATAACAACATTTAAGTTAAAATCTACCGATAAAATGTATTGTTTATTACGAAATCCATCCTTATTATTCAATATCACATCCCTTTCCTTTTTATATCGGGCGCCACATTTCCAAGTGAACCATATTCATGCATCTGGAACAGTGTAAAAACAACTTCACCTTCCTTAAATCTTCTACACAACTCCCTCCCTTCACTCCCATAATCAGAACCATGTGAATACGACAAACCAAAGTCAGACACAATTTGCCTTTGCACGATGATGCACTCAGCGGCAGCGACACTATAAAGTGTCATCGACACCTTGTTTTCTCTCCATGGCAGGGCTGTCATAAATGGTTTTCCATATTAAAACAGAACAGATGATGATAATGATGATGGTAATGGTAGTAATGATGTCTGTCTTGCAAAAGCCAAAGATGACAAGGCAGGCGTAAATTACTCCCGCTAAAATAGGTGGACCATGGTATTTTTAAATCTAAATGAGGAACATGTGCTTTTACGGGAGATGGAGAACCAAAAAGAAAACAATTTTGAAATAAAAATTTAAAAATATTTAATTGTGCTTGTGGTAGTGGTGCAGTCGAGAATTTGTGTCTGTGTGAATTTATGACAAACGCATTTGGACTCACCACTCACTGATCCGTGACATTCAATTGTACACTTTGGACTACTGGCTGGCTGGTTGTCTGCCACAATGGCACCCTAAAGGCATTTGCCAGGAGAAAGAGGGACGGAGGTTGGATAATGAGACGGATAAGCTGTGGATTTTGTTGTTGTCATACAACTTTGTATGCACAAGGTTTAGTACGGAAAGCTTAGCATAAACTATGAAAAAAGAAAAAGAAAAATCCAATGACGTCTTGTTTTTCCACTTGTTCTTTGTCTATGGTGGCATGACAATGACACAAAGTGACACACAGAAAAGACAAAACGGAGAGGAAAAATGCAATAAACCACAACAATTTAAGGTCACTTCCGTTTATGTTTTATTTATTTCTTTAGATTAGTTTTTAATGAATTTGAATGAAGATTAATGTTTTTTTCCTCTCTTTGCAGCATCCTCTACAGCCTTGGCTGTTAACCCACCCGATGCCGACCAAAAAGGACCCGTCTTCTTAAAGGAACCCACCAATCGCATTGACTTCTCCAACTCAACTGGCGCCGAAATCGAATGCAAAGCTAGCGGAAACCCAATGCCTGAAATTATCTGGATTCGTAGCGATGGTACTGCCGTGGGTGATGTTCCCGGTTTGCGTCAAATCTCCTCCGACGGCAAATTGGTATTCCCTCCATTCCGTGCCGAAGATTACCGTCAAGAAGTCCATGCTCAAGTCTATGCCTGTTTAGCCCGCAATCAATTTGGTTCGATCATATCACGTGATGTCCATGTCAGAGCCGGTAAGTTGGAAGTGTTCTAGAGAGAGAGTTTAAGATGATATTTGGGCAAGAGAGAGAGAGAGCTGGAGAGATGGGCAAACAGCTTTTCTATATAAAATAGTAACCAAAATTTCTATCAAAAAGTTGGTCGATAACCAGATTTTCCATAGAAAACTATGATCGACTATGGAAAATTTGGTCTACTAAATTGGTTATCGGCCAACTGTTCTATAGAAAACCTGGTTATCGGCCAAAATTTGGTTATCGACCAAGTTTTCTATAGAATAGTTGGCCGATAACCAGCTTTTCTATAGAACTTGGTCGATAACCAAATTTTCTGTACAAAAGTTAGCCGATAACCAAATTTTCTGTGGAAAAGTTTCTCGATAACCAATTTTTCTATAAAAAAGTTGGTCGATAACGAAATTTTCTATAGAAAATTTGTTCGATAACAGCTACTTCTGTGGATCAGTTGTTCGATAACAACTACTTCTAGGGATAAGTTGTTCGATAACAACGTTTTCCATAGAAAAGTTGTTCTATAACAACGTTTTCCATAGAAAAGTTTTTCGATAACAACGTTTTATATAGATAAGTTGTTCGATAACAACGTAATCTATTTCATGTAGTTCGACAACAACGATATCTATAGAAAATTTGTTTGAGAATAACGTTTTCTATAGAAACGATTTTCGAGAACGACGTTTTCTATAAAAAAGTTGCTCGATAACAACGTTTTCTATAGAAAAGTCGTTCGATAACAACGTTTTCTATGGAAAAGTCGTTCGATAACAACTACTTCTAGGGATAAGTTGTTCGATAACAACGTTATCTATAGTTGAGTTGGTTGATAACAGCGTTTTCTATAGAAAAGTTGTTCGATAACAACGTTTTCAATAGAAAAGTTGTTCGATAACAACTATTTCTATAGAAAAGTTGGTCGATAACAACTATTTCGATAGAAAAGTTGGTCGATTACAACTATTTCTATAGAAAAGTTGGTCGATAACAACTATTCCTATAGAAAAGTGGGTCGATAACAACTATTCCTATAGTAAAGTTGATCGATAACAACGTTTTCTATAGAAAAGTTGTTCGATAACTTATTCTTAAGATAAGTTATTCGATGGCAACCTTTCCTATAAAAATCTTGTTCGATAAAAATCTTCTTACTATCTTTCGCTCCCTATCTCTATCTCTCTCTCTCTTAACTTTTCTATAGAAAACGTTGTTCGATAACTTATTCTTAAGATAAGTTATTCGATGGCAACCTTTCCTATAAAAATCTTGTTCGATAAAAATCTTCTTACTATCTTTCGCTCCCTATCTCTATCTCTCTCTCTTTTGCCCTTAAAACAAAAATTTTCAGCTACACCATTTTTTTTTGTTTGTTGAATGGTTTCAACTTCATCGTTGGTATTCAAAATTTGTGTTCACTCTTTCCATCGGCGGCGTTGGTACGTTGCACCCACCGGCAGTGCGTGTGTTTGTGTGGGTGCCTGCACATGTGGGCCTCAAGTTTGCGAATTGATGTCAGGGCCTAAAAAACAGTGCTCAAAACATTAATTTAAAGATCCTCGGGGGAAATTCTTTGAAATGTGTTTTAGAACATCTCCCTCTGCAGTAAATGTGTGTGTGTACGCGGTGTGTTCATTTAGACAAAAAGGATACACTTTAGAGTTTTTGGCGCGTGTGTCCCCCCTTAACAACAATAACAACAACAAAAATGATGATGACGACGATGATGCAACAATTTCGCACATGAAACGCTTTAGAAAACTTTACTCCCGAACACAACACTATTTTAATGGCATTTTAATTAAATTTTTCCCTTGCTCTCACTTAGTTGCCAGGCAGACGACAATGACAGTTCTGCTTCTTCTTCTTCTGCTCTTCGTTGCTGGAAATACATTCATGGAACAATTGGAATTGTAGAGATAAGCGCATAATCAACGCTGCTTACATATGTTTGTGTGTTTTTGCCGGAGATACTTAAAGTTTACTAAATAACAATAGACCAGCTATGCAAGCTTAGTTTTATGGTTTTCTTACTCTTTTGTTGTTTTTGCTCGCCTTTTGTTGCAGACTAAAACCCCATGGCGTTTAACTGCCGGGGCATAGCACAAAAAAAAATAAATATGGAAAGGATTATTTTGTCATAAACTTTGACATCAAGTGTTGGCATTATGATGAGCGTTATATCACAAAATGCGTGTAGTGAAATTTTAAAGAAAGAAATTTGAAACCCAGAAAAAGGTCAAAGGTTATTGTCATAAAGTTTGTAAAAATGTAAAACTAGTCTAAATTTATGCAATTAAAGATCATTAACCATAATTTTAGCATTTATATAATGGAAAATGTCATTTAAAACGATGAAATTATCAGCTTTTAAATTTCTTGGAACGATATGGAAACGAAGCACCGAAAACAAATTCACCAAACCGATTATAAATCACGGATAAGAAATTTAGATAGCCTAAGTTCTTTATTATAAATATCAGTTGTTAACTTCAATTGAAAGCAAAATCGCTTCAGTTCGATGGACCAAAGTTTTTAATGAAATTATTTAATTGAATTGTCATTTGAAACTTTGTGGGAAAGACATATAAACTATCAGTTTTTAATGTTTTGGAGCAATATGGAAACGAAACACGGAAAACAAAATATCACCAAAACGATTGTAAAACCTCAATAATTAATTTAGAAAGCTACAGGCTCTTATTAATCAATATCAGTATTTCCTTCAATTAAAAGCAAAATCGCTTTAGGTTAGTGGACCAAAGTGGAATTGAAACAAATAACCTTCTCATTGAAATTATTCGGAATAATAAAAAATAACCTTTGACTTAAAAATACATGTTTTCTGCAATTGAAACAAAGTGGAATTGAACCATAGGTTGTATATTTGACACATTTGTGAAAACAATTTATTATAACATTTGTTAACCGTTGCTGTTATATCTTGAATTTTTATTAAAATTTCTTAATAAAGTAGAGGTCTCAATGTGGAACGTGTGGAATTGATACTCCCGTACGTTTTTATTCTTCATTTTTTGTGAATTTGTTAGCTACCTCATTGTCCAAAGTAAAAATAAATTATTTTAAATTAGAATCTTATTAAATTCTCTTTGAAGCTCTTTAACTGGAGCTAGGAACAACATGGAATTGAATCATACCTATATGTTTTTATATAATTTCTTTAAAAATAAATGATACAGCATTAACACTGAAGAAATATGGAATTTCAAGGCATGAAACGAAATGGAAATGGAACACACAAATATTAAGTTATAAGTAATGTTCAGAATTTTTCTCAGTATTAAAATTTTTATTATAGCTATGATGCAATGGAGCACGGTACAACATGGGAAATGAAACAACATTTGTTAGGATAAGAGTAGGAGAAAGTCGAAAATCATTTTTATTTAAATTGTTAAACTATGACGGAACCAAAGGTGACACTTGAAGATTTTTTTAAGTTTCATTCAATTTTCTGTAGAGCACTGGAGTTAGAAACAACGTGGAATTGAAACATATGTATACATTTATTTATGATTTTTATGAGAATTTTTGGTAAAATAAATGTTGCTGCATCCACAATACTGAAATACGAAACTTCAACAAATGAAATAATATGGAAATGAAACACAAAAATTTTGAGTCAAAAGCAAAACTCAATATTTATACTCAGAGTCTACAGGAATGTATTTTTTTGCAGAATTTCCAGATTGGATCATAACTATGGTGTAATGAAACAACATGGAAAAGAAACAATATTTGTTAGGATAAGATATGTAGAAAGAAATATTTTTTTGTAAATTATTAAATTAAGGCAAATTGAAAAATACTAAGCAAAGGGTCTAGGAACAAGATGGAATTGAAACCCATGTATGAATTTAATTATGTTATCTGTTAAAAAATGGAGGACCATAAAAACTGGGAAAACAAAACATTTCCAGACATGAAACAAAATGGAATTGAAACACAAAAATTTTAGATTTGAAGGAAAATACACAAAATTAATACATTTTTATTCTCAGAAGATATATGAATGCTTTTTGGCTTTTGAAATTTAAATTTACATCATAACTATGATGCAATAAAACATGGAACAACATGGGAAATGAGACAAAATTGGTTAGAATTACATTGATGGGGATGTTTTAGGTATATCAGGATATTAAGCCAAGTTGAAAAGGATTTCTCCTATGGAAATCATATTCTATTTACCTATAAAAAATCATAGAATGGACGTTTAAAACGAAGTGGAAGTGAAACATAATAGGTATTTCTTTTTAATTTACAATAAAAAGTAAATTAAAAACTTAAAAAGCTTAAAGAGGTAGAATAAACATACAAACATCTTAAATTCCCTTTCTAAAGAAGTCCACTTAAACAGGTGTACAAAGCTGGTCATAAAAAATAGGTACATATTTCTCCCCCTCTCCCTTTCCCACCCTTCCAACCATACCCCAGCAATTCCTAGACCATAGATTATTAGATGACATGTCATGAAAGCTTAGTCACAGTAGCCATCATTGTCATCATCATAACTTTGGCTTTCGAGATGACGTGACACATTATCGTTATGATGACGACAAGCCAGCCGGGGTGGGATGTGGTGTGTGGAGTGGGGCATGGGACTAAAGTAGCTACATGCCTCTCGAAGTCTATGTACTTAGCAGATATGTTTAACATTTTCTCAGGTTAAACGATAACAAATAAGTAACGAAGAAACAAAAAAAAAAAAAAAAAAACACTGACGAGGAAGACAAATAGAACGGAAAACCATAAGAAGAGTTGAATGGCTAGAGCAACAGCTTGTAAAATGTTATATTTAATATATTAAACTTGGCACTTTCCGGGTCTAAATGGTAGAGGGATAGTTAAGAGCTTCCTGGAGTTCTTTTTTGTCCAGGTTTTATAATAGCAGAATATGGAATACTCCCTCCCCTCCCCAAAAACTTGATAATTTAATGTGACTAAACATGTCTACCAAAAATGTAGCTGTGGGTTTGTTT